TCCGCTGTGACCAGTAGGGCCACATTGAGCGGGGCTGCCAAAATGCCCCGGGAGCCTTCAGCAAGGCATCTCCAGCCCCTCCCGGGCCCTCGTCAGCATCGGGCGCCGGGCCCCAGGCGAGTCGCGGCGCATCATCAGCATGGCCGCTCCCCTCACCTCAGGCATCTAGCAGGGCTAGGGCCCATCGTCATGGGGTTGTCCTTGAGGGGTCGAGTGCACCATCGTTGTCACCCGCTGGGTGGCCCAGACAGACCCGCCATTAGGACGCGCTTGCGCATCAGATGGTGGCAGCGGCTGTCGGCTCCTCAGCGGTGGCGGGATGCGTGCAAGGGGTGGAAGTTCGCCTCTTGGTGGATACGGGCGCGTCTGCCACCATTACTTCAGAGGCCATCTTCGAGCTGCTACCCCGCAGCGTGGGTCCGTTAAGGCCGGTTCGCGGGGCTTGTGTCGTCGCAAAAGGCGGTAGTTTGGGCACTGTTTTAAATTTTCTTGTTGTGGTTTTCAGACCTGATGATGATTGCTTGTATTGCAGTCGAAACGTCGTGAGAATTTTATTGTTTTAAATTTTTATTATTTTATTGTTTCCCTTCTACGTGACTTTACCGAAAGAACCAAGAATATCTTGGGCCACGTTATAGCGTCGGTTCAGGTTGACGAGCTTGAGTTGGCCGGGCCTATTTTGGTTTCCAGTACCTTGGCAGTCCCATGCCTCTTGGGGACAGACTTCTTGTCGAGAATGCCCATTCGAATTCTCGTTGACCAGGGTTGTGTGGAAATGCCGTCAGGGAGGCGGTTGCATTTCCTGCAATCGCCTACCGTCCTGTCTCCCTTGGTCGCCAGTGTGCGGGCCTTGAATAAAGCGGCGGTGACCGTACCGCTGGCGTCACAAATCCTGCTACCCCTTAGGTTGTGCAGACCGCTCGAAATGGACTCCACGGAGACGGGTATTCTCCTGTCCCCGTCGAGTTACTTTTCAAGGACAAAGGGATTAGTGGGCGCCTTGACAGCCGTGTCGGGGGACCAGGACCTTTCTTTGCAGGTCCTCAATTCGGGGCCCGTGCCAGTCGTAGTCTGGCGCACGCGACCCCGGGCTCACTCCACCCGAGAGCGCTGCCCCGGATGGAGGGGTCATGGCGGGCGTGATGCACGCGGGGGACTCCGACACATTGTGGATCGCCACGTTGTGCAAAGAGAATGCCTCCTTGTCCCCCAAGGAACGTCAGCAACTCCGTGAACTCATCGACAGATTCACCAATGTGTTTAGCCAAAGTAAGTTTGATCTGGGTCGCACTTCTCTTTTGGAGCATCACATAGATACGGGCGAATCAGCCTCTATCGACTTAATTCCCACCGCTTTAGCCCGATGGAAAAAGAGCATGTCCGCTCGGCTGTCGATGAAATGTTGGCGGCGGACATTATCTCCCCATCTACTAGCCCTTGGGGTGCTCCCATTGTGCTAGTCAAGAAACGGGACAGGAGTCTCCGGTTCTGCGTCGATTTCCGTAAATTGAACAAGATCTCGGTGGCTGATGCATATCCATTGCCTCGCATGGATGATTCCCTAGACACCCTCTCAGGTGCGCAATTCTTTTCGACTCTAGATTTGCTCTCCGGCTTCTGGCAATTGCCACTAGACGAGGCCTCTAGACCCAAGACAGCGTTCCGCACGCCCCAGGGGTTGTTCGAATTCAATCGGCTTCCTATGGGTCTTCATTCGGCCCCAGCCACCTTCCAGCGTTTCATGGAGATGGTCTTGGCGGGGCTGCAGTGGGAGTCTTGTTTAATCTACTTGGATGACATTATTGTTTTTGGCCGTACGTTTGACGAGCACTTGCAACGCCTTGAGTCTGTGTTCGTCAAAGTGCGTGCTGCGGGCTTGAAATTTAAGCCCCAGAAATGCTGTTTGCTACAACCATCGGTGAAGTATTTGGGACACATTGTTAGGGCGTCAGGTGTCGCCACGGACCCAGAGAAAACGGCTTGTGTCCGGACGTGGCCGACTCTGTCGCGGAGGTGCGTAGCTTCATCGGCTTCGCATCGTACTATCGTCGGTTTGTACGCGATTTTGCGACAATTGCGAAGCCGCTGCACGCGCTCTCCGCCAAAAGCCAAAGGTTCACTGGGGCGCGGAGGAGGAGGCTGCTTTTGCAGCGCTTCGCGCGGCCTTGGTGGATGCGCCGCCCTTGGGGTACCTGGATTTTTCGAAAACCTTCCTTTTCGACACCGATGCCAGTGACATGGTCATTGGGGCAGTCCTGGCCCAGGTGGTCGACGGGGTTGAGAGGGTGGTGGCCTACGGAAGTCGCATTCTGTCCCCGACGGAACAGCGATATTGTGTGACCCGGAGGGAGCTGCTGGCCATAGTGTTTTTTGTTCAGTTGTATAGGCCCTACTTGTTGTACGGCAGACGGTTTACGGTCCAAACCGACCATGTGGCCCTGCAATATTCGCTGATGATTAGCCAGCCCTCGGGTCAGCTTTCCCGCTGGCTCTAGGTGCTCCAGGAATACCCCTTTGACGTAATCCACAGGAAGGGGGCACAGCATGGAACTGTGCACGGTTTATCCCGATTGCCGGCAGGCGGCGGGTGTGCTTGCGACCTGGGCTCTAGCCGTTGCAAGGCCCCAGGGGACACCGCGGCCCAGTTGGTCGCTTCGGCCGAGGCGGCCACCCCTCCAGGTGCAGCGTTGCCTGCAGATTTCGGCCTGGGACTCCCGAGAGGTATGGTCCAGCTTGCAGATGGAGGATTCCTCTGCTGAAGCTACGACGCCGTGTTGGGCGTAAGGCCCGGAGCTCAGCTTCGTCGGCTGCCCCAGCGATCGCCGTGCATGACGGACTCCTCATGCGTTGGGATGCCCAATTGGAACGCTATTGCGTGGTTGTGCCCACTAGCCTGCGTGGTAAATTAACCCGAGCCATTCACGAGAAGCTTATGCACCTTGGCTACCACAAGACCTTATTGACCCTTAAGCGGGACTATTACTGGCCGGGTGTAGAGGGTGATGTGGCGCTGATTTTAAAGGGTTGCCACGACTGTGCGCGGAGAAAGGCCCCAGTTGTCCAGGACCGGGCCCCGCTGCAGTCCATCTGGGTTTCTTGCGTTAATGAGCACGTGGCGCTCGACATTTTGGGCCCATCCCAACGGGGCCATAAATACCTCTTGGTGGGCGTCGAGTACCTCACACGTTGGCCTGTGGCGTGGCCTTTGGTCGATCAGTCGGCCTCTTCTATCACCGAGGCGTTCGTCCAGGGGTACGTGTTGGACAAGGGTGCGCCGGAACAATTGTTAACCGACCAGGGGCGGAATTTCTCGTCTAGGTTGCTCAAGGAGGTGTGTGACCTCCTTGGCACCAAGAAAATCCGCACCTCGCCCTACCACCCCCAATCGGACGGGATGGTAGAGCGGTTGAACCACTCCCTCACGTCCATGATGTGCCACCATGTGAACACGCCCCAGTCAGACTGGGACCTGTTCGTCCCGGGGGTCTTGGCGGCGTATCGGTTGGGATAGGGATCGGGAACAGCACAGCACCAGGGCTGGATGTGGCTGCGCTCCTCGGTCGGCCGTGTTGGCTGAACCCACGGCCGGCGCAGAGGAGGTAGCACGGGGCAGCCGGCTGTGACGGGAACCAGTGGGACCTAGCCTAGGACCCCTAACTCCTGGGAAGTGGTTACACCCCTTGTGTTATTAGCGGAAGCCTTAATAAACTTACGGCGCAAGCCCTTAACCTTCACATTCATCTCCGAGTCGTCTGGAACTCTTCTACATATATATATAGATATTTACCATGTATGGGTGCATTTATTAGCTAACTTCTGAAAAATTAATTAATATTCTCAACCTTAATTTGAATCAGTGCATGTAGCGTGTTAATAAATTATATATAAATGTAGAACCTTGTTGAATATTGAAAGACAGATGGGGGGGGGGGGGTCACCCTGAGCTGTCCCAGAGGTGCCCCTTTTATACACCTCTAGGGGGGTCCCTGCCTCCGGTACCGCCCCCTTTCTGGAACCTTCCAGGGGGCTCTGGAAGAACCCCCCAGCCCCTCACCTGGGGTCTGGGGGGGGGGGGAGAATCCAGCCCCTCAACGGTCCGGCTCTCTCTGTACTTCCCCAGCTCAGGGTGGCACCCCCTATGGGCCTGTGCCCGCAACTGCATGTAAGTATATACCGACGGTATAGGTGTACATTTCCGACGCTGCACATGTAAAATTTTATTCCAACTTAAAATCACCATCCTAAACTAAGGCACACATTAGACTTGGTTAGAAACTGATCTTCTAAAAAGATTGTTTAATAACAACCACCTGGCTAATGAAGGAGAGGCAGGAAGGGGATTGGATTAAGCATATGGAGTAGTGCCCGTAAGCCTCATTTATATATTTGTCATGGGAGCAGAGGACCCAGGACTCAGAGTAGAGAATAAGTAACGACATCGTAGAAATATCACAAGTTCATTTTGCGTCGTATTTATTGCCATATTGGAAGTCGAAACTTACGTGTGGTGATGTCCAATTGTAACCAATAATATACCACAATCATGAGTAATAACATTAGTAACAACTCTAACATCATCAACATTCCTAACATCACTAATGTCAACATTAATAACATCAACATACCTTGGCCACAGACTGGCTTAAATATACAGATGATATCATACTGGCCATGTTGGGTGGGTCCTTGTTTACATCCTTCTGGAATATGATCAGCTGGTGCAGTTTCTTAGCAACAGCTCTTATGAGGGCAAGTATTACAATCTCACTCTTACCCCTATTTACATTGGCTTATGACCTATTTTCCTTATGACATGAGCATACTACAATCATAGCCTGCTGGGCTTATAATAAATCTTAACAGCATTTATTGAACTGACGTCGCAGGTATTCCTGCGCTGTTCCTGGACCACAGAACCAAGTTCCAAGGGGACATGTAAACGAGGTTCTGTCATCAGTTATTATCTGGGATTGTTGCAACTTTAGCAGAGACGCCCTTACCAGAAGCAAATGCAGAGAAGAATTGCGACGATGATGATCGTCACCACTACGGCAGACACCACAATGGCCGTTTTCTGACCTTCTGTGTCCTTCTGATAAATGTAGCCAACTTCCTCACACCGTGTTCCTGAGTGGCCAAAATGGCATCTGAAATAAAAATGTATATGGTTTGTACAAAAAAGCTGGAAAGCCAATCCATTAAACGAGCATTAATTATAGGATATTCAACTTGAAAAAAAAATGCAACTTTACAGATGTGCAAAAGCAAGGACATGTTTGTCATTTAAACTGATACCGATGCACTTGCGTTTAAATGTAAGTGGACTAAATACAAAGGTCTACAACACCACGTTTTAATTTAACATGTTTTCAAGTATTTAATTCGAAATCTGCCTAAAACTGGGCAGTGGACTTGGGAAGTCATGAAAATATGAGGTGAGGTTTTTGTCGTTTTTGATGGACAGGGACCCGAGTGATGCTTTGTCTCACGTGACACCGATAGCACATTTGGGGGGAAAATTGGAGAAAATATTAGAAACATGAAAACATAAACGACATCATTAATAATTAATCGAAGCTACTGCATGAACAAATAAAATAAATACAAAAAACACATCTGATTTATAACAATTAAAATAACCTGCTCTCTTATCGCTCTTCTTTCCAGAGTATTCGCAGCCTGCCATTTCATCTTCAGTGGCCAACTAATCTGCTGCACTGTTGAAAAATAAACTTCCAGGCATAAATGCAGTGCCATTCACAAAATATTGTAACAGAACTATGCTAGAACTAAAATATACTTTAAAAAAATCCCCCGGGTGAGCAATCTTACAAGTGTAATGAGCAACTTCCGTGACACGTCATGTAAAGCAGCGGTCCCCAACCTTTTTGGCACCAGGGACCGTTTTCTTGGAAGACAATTTTTTCACGGACCGGGGGGGTTCATCATTGGGTTTTTTCCCCTTTTCAAAGAAGCTCTCCAGCGACGTTTGTTTTTTGCCAATTTTGGCTAGGGTTAGCTCTAGATCCCTCGCATGCTCAGTTTACAGTAGGGTTCGCACTCCTATGAGAATCTAATGCCGCCGCTGATCTGACAGGATGCGGAGATCAGACGGTAATGCGAGCGATGAGGAGCGGCTGTAAAAACAGATGAAGCTTCGCTCACTTGCCCACCGCTCACCTCCTGCTGTGCGGCCCGGTTCCTAAAAGGCCATGGACCGGTACCGAGCAGAGACGCCCACCATCCAGCCCAAAAGAATTCCCTCATCACAACACTACACCATAGAGCCCGTTGCATCTCCGACCATCACCACCTAGCCAGTGAGCTTGAACATGTATGCCAGCCACGACCCCAAAAAGACTCCATCCCCCCCCTCCCGTGCCTATATAAAGCCACAACATCAGATCATTTTCTCACCTGAAAACAGACACTTGTGTTGCAACCGAAACGTCGTGTTTTCTTTTATTATTTTTTCTATCTACGTGACTTTATCAAAAGAACCAGAGAGTATTAAGTGTGATATTGTCTATTTTTAATGTCATGGCTCCTGGGAGACAAAATGGGTCCCCTGCATGCCGAAAGTGTGGGTGGCACGTGTACGGGTGTGGGATTGTGCTGGCTGCTGGGAGGGCGGGTCGAACCTTGTACATACCTTTCTTCCCTTCTTTCTCTTTCCCCTCGCGGACTATGTATATAGTGTTGGGGTTATTTTCCCCACGCGGATTGTTCATTGTTAATTATTCTGGTTTTATATTGGGGGTCACACTTTGCCAATGAAAAAATTACGGTCAGCCGGATTGGCTGTGGGGAAATTTGAGGAGTTTTTTAATATTTTTTTCTCCTCTCCCCTTCAAAATTTCGGGAGTTTCCCAGCTGAGTTGGCTGGATTTCATAAAGGGGGGGTAGTGTAGTGACACAAATAGGGTCACTGTACTGTAGCGCCCGACACTAATTCTGGAGTGCCGCTGAGCGCCGGGAACCTCCACAGGAGGCTTGAGGGACACGTGACCGGGAGCTGGGAGCTCCTGACTTGATATAGCAGGGGGCGTGGCCGAGGGCGGAGCAAGGCCGCGGCCAGGGATAAAGGGGGAGCCCCGAGCGGAACCGGGGCTCGTTTGTGGGTATCAACTCGAGAAGTGGTCGCTCTTCGCTCCTCGTATACCGTGAAGTCTAAGCTGGGGATCGTGGGTCAGGCAACGTGTGTGCTGATGGCCCGTTCGTTCAGTTAACTGACATGCACATAGCGAACAGTATAGCCACACCTAGCTATAGAACTTAAGTGTTAAGTAGGTTGTTTATTAAACATGTTGCCTCCAAGCATAGTGTGTGCGCGCCTCTGTATGTACACACTACACAGATAACCTGCAAACGTGCAGTGCAGCAGTTAACGGCTGACCACGAGTGTGCTAACACGGGAGCCCCAACACCCTCCAGCGTGGATCGAGAATGATGCACAGACAACAGTGCGAAGGAGCAGCGAGCAAGGAGCAGCGAGCAAGGAGCAGCGGGGCCGCGAGGGAACTATAGCTGTGGACCAAGCCTGCCATTCTACACATCGTTGTGGGACTTAAGGTATTGTTCAGAAAGAAGGAGAAACATTACCTTAACACTCACTCACTAATTTTAACTGTACCTTGTACAAGTTGTGGGACAAGAAGAATCTCAGCTTGCATGCCTCACACACCATAATAAGGGAATTGTGTATGGTCGCGTTACCATGAGATAGCCTTATGCTTTTTTTATCACACGATTGTGTGATCCGATGGTTGACGTTTTCTAACTATTTGATATGCATTTGACAACACATTCTGTGCGAATATTGCCACTTTGAGGTGTTGCCTATTGTTCTGGTTTAACGACGTGATCGTGAGATTTGACCATTGATGCTTTTATGATCCAGTACGGATTGATGAGTACGTATATTTGCATGGGCACTGTTATTGGATTTCTGATAAGAGTTTTTGGGTGTGAGTGTAAATTGAGATTAAAGTTGCTTAGATTAAAAACAGGTTTCCGAGTGCTTCTTTCCTAAATTTGTGCATTATTGTCGAAATGACGAACTGCGGTGAGATCTGAAACGCGAGACCTGACATAATTACACATATAATTGTTGAGGCGAGAATAATAAATGTTAAAGCGAGAATCATAACTATTAAAGTGAGAAGCAATGATAGTATCACAATTGGTGATACATACCCCTAAACAACGAAAACGGACTTTATCGCAAAATATTCTTGCAACCCCTTCAACACAACTCATCCACTCAAGGTAAGATCATAAAATATATAGGTTAAGGTAAATCTTTTTTTTAAATGCTGTTTTAGATTCTGTGCTTTTTTATGCTAAACATTTTCTTTTTGTGTCATTGCTTAAAAATGACACAAATACATTCTCTAATAAAACATGAAAAGTTTTATTCTGAGGGAAAATTCCCCTTTATACGTCATTTCGTTATGTCGCAACTTTTTGGTCCCTAACCCCGACGTATATCGGGGACCCCCTGTACCAGGCAAGGTAGGTAACATGTCGCCACCGTGGCACTAATAAAATCTATACGAATGCATTGGCCATTCGACTTGAAACGATCCTTCCAGAAATAATTCACCTCCCCCAGACTGGCTTCATAAAAAAGACAAAGACATGACTCAGAATAAGAGAACAATAACAGATGTGCTTTTGTGATCGGAACAAAAACTAAACAGCAAGCATAGGCAATTACGCTGGATGGAGAAAAGGCAGTCAATAGGGATATTCTCTTCCAAACAATGCAACGCATGGGCTTCCCTGAATAATTCTTAGCACTATGCCAACTACCATTCATTCTTCCCACTGCTTCTGTCAGAACTAAAGGGTGGATTCTAGATTTGAACCTTTCGTGACTGCAAGGATCCATACTCTTTGGTTTTTTCGGTAAAGTCACGTAGGTAAAATAAACTAAATCAAAGTAAAAGAAAACAAATCAAAATTAAAGAAAACAATTAAATTACAACGTTTCGGAGGCAACACAAGCTTCCGTCTTCAGGTGGAACAGTCACAGCAAGATCGCTGCATCAAGTGGGGAGGCTCTGAGAGCCTCGAGCTTAAATACAGGTTAAGGGGGGGGGGGGGGGGAAGAGCCAAGTAGGGCACATTGATGTTGTGTGGAGCTAAGTTAATCCGTCTTTTGTTATGTTGAGGGTGCGGGGGATGCAGTGAGTCACTGCACGGGGGCAATGGAAAAATGGAAACAAAAATGGAAAAGTTCGGAAAGAATATGCTGTGTGCTTATAAGGTAGCTAAAGTTTTGACTTGGTTTATGACATCTTTCCAGTGGTTGCTTAATTTAAAACCATCCTCTCAGTTGAAGTTGTGTCTATGTTTGTATATCTCGATGGCTTAATGGACAAATCTTTGGTAATAACCGGGAGGTTTGCATAGTACTTTGGTATCGGAGAAAACAATCTCATGAGAACCCGCTGTGTTGAGACAATGATGGCTGACGACTTCGTTCTGCCGTGTTTCAAATCTGATTTGTGCTCGCGAATTCGGTCAGAAATATGTCGTTTTGTCTCCCCGATATAGCAGTCACCGCAGATACAACTCAATTTGTAAACACCGGGGTACTGTAAGTCAGGGATGACATCCTTTATGGATGGGATCAGATCACGGATTGTGTACTGTATTGAATCGAACCTGGATCTTGTGTTTGTTTAGAATTTTGGAAATCTTTTTGGTAACGCCTGCTATGTATGGCAGTGTGATGATTTTGATCGGAGTGTCAAGTGGTTGTTTCTGTATGGTGGGAAAAACAGCTTGGTGGATGGTACGGTCAGGGTATCCATTCCTTTTGAGGGCCAGTTGTACATGTTTTTCATTCACTGGTCAGGTGGTGTTGGTCCGAAATGCAATGAGCTCTATGGTATAATGTTTTGATGAGAGAATTCGTTTGAGCCGGGTGGTGGTGGGAATCAGGCTTCAAGTAGGAATCTGTGTGGGTGGGCTTCCTGTAAACAGAATGTCCCAAATACCCATCAGTCCTCCTTTCAAACAGAAAATCCAAGAATGGAAGCTTGCCATCTTTCTCCACTTCCATGGTGAATTTGATGGATGGGTGTCTGGAATTTGTGGTCTAGGAAATGGTTCAAAGCTGGGAGGCCATGTGGCCAAA